GAATATGTTAAAGCTGTAGTGAAATGCTTCTTCTAAGCATGTAGTTATTAAAAATAAAAAAAAATGATTAAAAAATAAGAATTAGTAGATGTGAAAAACATTACCATTGAAATCTACCTGATGACTTTATATCTGTGCTCAGATGCCAAGGAGCTCAGAAAGTAACCGACTGTCACTAGTAATAATCAGATATATAGAGATTACAAACGCTTGTGCAAACATCTTTATGTCAATTGCATTAAAAATGAACTTTTCTGTATGTAACTGTGTATTTTAGTAATGAAATGGAGATCGTTTTTAAAGGTTAAAAACTTGTTTAATTTTATGTCTTATAGGGGTTATACTGAGTACAATATTGTATAACTGCACTAATTCAACTGTAAACCTAAAAATTTACAGACAATTTTGAAAAAGATGCATCTTAGCTCAGAAAACTGTTATTGAATATGTCAATGTTGTTGTAATGAAATGCTTCTTCTAAGTATGTGGTTATTAAATAAATAGTTAGCTGGACAAAAAAAAAAGAATATTAATCTTAGTATCATTTAATTATCTTTTTATTTTATATCTATGAGTGTTTTGAGTATTTTATGAGTGTTTTGCCTGCATGTATATAAGTACCTCCATGTTTTCACTCAGCATCACATCTTAAATTTATATTTTATTGAATTTTTGTGCATTTCATACATCTTAATCATACTCAGACCTCCCTCCCCTCTCTGCATTCCTCCATAGCCGACCCACTGAATTTTATGCACCCTGTCATATATGTCAAGGTCTACTCTATTAAGTTTGTATACCTAGATGTTCCCGTGCATGAATTCATTCACTGGGGCCTGTTCAGCCTCTCTAGTGTCTTTCCCTTAAAGGGGATCAACTGCCTCTCACCCAGCAGTGATCACTTCCAACTGTTCTTCAGCTAAGGTTGGGGCCTCCTGCCCATTACCCTAGTCCTGTACTGGATTTTTGTCTGAGTTTGCATCGATCTTGTACATGCTGACGCCATTGCTGTAAGTTCATACAAGCAAGTTTCCAAGGCCTGGAAAACTCCCTTTCCTTATGATCATGTACCACTCCCGGCTCTTATAACCTTTCTGCCCTCTCCTGCAATGATCCCTGGGCCCTGGGTGGATGAGGTTTAATATAGGAGTCCTATCCAGAAGCATGCACTCTGCAGTGTCTTATTCTCCCCACTTTGGTCAGCTGTGGCCCTCTGTTACAGTTGAGAGACGCAGCTAGGGGCTACAACAGTGAAGAAAGGACTTGCCAGTGATAGCAGGGAATGCAAGTCCAGATACCCCATGTAGAATTCTTATACACCATTCTCCACTTTAGGAAAATTCCATTCATGCAATTTGCTGTAACTTCTTCGTCAAAGAATTTCTTCTACATTGGAGTCAATATTTCCTTCCAAAAGAAGAAATTGTCACTTAGCCTTGTCAGCTTACAGGAAATAGAGTCTCACAATAATCCAAAGTATGCCACCTCCCAAGATCTTTCTTGCCTCTGTCGGGTAGTGTGTTGGGAATAACCTGGACATTGCACCTACCAGAAATTTCCAGAAGCAGCTTTACATTGTGCATTAAATATACTATACCACAGTGTGCAAAAGAAATTGCATGATGAAACAGAGCCTGGAATCCACAGCAGAAAGGTGTGTGTTCTAAAGTCACAATGGCAGTTTGTTGTCCAGATCCTGGTTACGTCACAGTGAGGCACTGCTGAGCATCACATGCAGTCATCCTGGAAGTGGGAAAGACAACCTCATGTGCTTTAATAGGCTAGCTTTTCATCAAGAGAATGCCTAAATGTTGACCAAATTCTTTTATGCAGAGTCTGCGAATGGCTGGGCCTGCATGTGATGTGCTTGCTGTTCAGAGGATACTGATAGAAAGTTCTTTGAGGCCGCTGTTCCCAGAGTTTTCACATGCAGAGCGTGGGGGCTGGGCAGAGACTTGTGTTCAGTGGTCTCTTTCATGTCCTGAGAAGGACAGTCATGTGTTTTAGTTTAGCTGATACATTCCAATAAAACGGTTTTCAAAGAGAATGGACAAATAATAGGGGCTTTACATATGGTGGCCGTGGATGTCACATGGACCTAATTTTCTCATACACAATATATTTGTTATTCCATGAGCTGGTTATAATTCATTTAAGACTCGTTTTTATTCAATTTTATCTAATAAACTAATGAAATGGCCCAGTGAAGTCTTTATGGTCAGTATAATTTGGGTGAGTGACTTAGTCTACATTTCCTTTAGGATGTTAATGATATCATTACTCTCCCTGTGTTTTCCCCTTCAAAAAGCTCAAGGAAGAGAAAGAACCCCAAGTCTGGGTACCATTATGATATGTGCATTTTAAATCATTCTCAGCATGAAGATTTTCATGGAAAAAAAGTAAGCTTTAATTTACTTTTCTTCTCTACACAAATAATTATTAGCAAGTGATTTTCTTTATTTCTCATGGTGTCAATGTCAGACATAAACTGCCTTTTATCCTTTTAATAATTTCCTTATTATTACATGAATCTCCTTAATTGAGACTGGGAAGATAATTCAGTCAGAAAAGTGCTTGAAAGGCAATTGTGAAGACCCACGTTTAGATATCTAGTACACACATAAAAAGCTACCACACCTAGAATCCTAGCTCTGGAAGTTGGAGTCAGGGCAATCCCAGCAAGTACTGACCAGCCAGTCTTACCAGATTGGTGAGATCCAGGCCTGGTGAGAGGACCCTTTCTCAAAAACCGAGATGAGGAGCATAGAGGGAGACATCAAACATCAACTTTCAACTTTTACACACATGTGTGATCTCTGTCTCTCTCACATACACACAGAATCTCTTTAATTTATTGATATTATTTATTGAAACAGCCTCTTTTATCTTGGATTGATGATAGTCATGAATATGAGATGTTATTAAAGAATATGTATTAGAAAGAGGACATTTCTACTGAAGAAAATGGACCATCCAGGAAATTAAATAGTAGGTGATGAAGAGATAGTGCCCAACGTGTAGAAGCTGTCCTTGCAAAACGACAAAGTAGCTGGGCACGGTGGCACGACTCTACTCCTGGCACTTGAGAGGCTGAGGCAGGAGGCCTGCAAGTTGCAGGCCAACCTGGGCTATGTAGAGCTACCCTGTGTGAGAGAGAAGGGGGGAGGAAGGAGAGAGAGAGCAAAAAGAAAGAAAGAGAGAGAGGTAGGAAGGGAGGAAGGAAGAGAGGATGAAGGAAGGAAGGAAGGAAGGAAGGAAGGAAGGAAGGAAGGAAGGGAGGACTTTTAAAAAATTTCAGGAGATTTTTTTTTGAGGGGGAGTTCTTTGCTCATTGCTTGAAATCTAAAGCTGAATTTGTTCACCATTTTTTCAGATCCAACATTGTTTTTACCACTCCTGCCCTTGTAAGAGTTGCCTTGACATGGGTCTGGAATGAATGATGTCATCATGTAACTAAATACCAAATGAAGAAGCCAGCCATTTCTGCTACCACAGGAACACACACATGTGAGTGACGCAATGCAGTTATAAACCAGAGCTAGTACAGAGGGCTCTGCAGTGTGGCAGGAAATGCAGTCCAATTAACCAGGTCAAAATGCTCAGCATCAGCGTGGCTCAAAGCTACTGTGCATGGAGCAGGAGTGGGAGTATCCCAGGCGTATCCTGTCTTTGCCAGTCAGTGTGGGTGATATCCTCGGTTAAGCAAGTGAGTGATGTGGGCTGGGAAGCCTTGACCTCTGTGTGACTGTAGATCCTCTGGTGTTGGGAGGAGAACATTTCTTAGAGAGAGGTATTCCTTGACCTCCAACCCAGCATTAAGTATGCTACTCACAAAAGGTAAATGTGGACCAAAGGGAATACTTCGACATTTGAAATAATTTCCCCATTTTTATACTTACAAACTTGTTAAAATGAAATAAGTTAAGAGGAAGGAAAAGATCAGATGGGGTGTAACTATTTATAGTTGCAACTTAGTGTGACGTTGCCTAGATTTTTTTCAGCTCTATAGGTCAAAGCAGAGCTTCAGACATGCTATAGGCAAAGGCCCTGCCTCTGAGGTCCTTCCCAGCCCTTTATTGTCTGGCGTTGACGGCCTCTGTCTACATAGATATATGCTCCACCAGCATGTTGAATACATAATGCAAATTATTTTCAGGTAATATTATGGTGTATTTTATTATCTACCGATTTAGAGAAAAATGTTTTAAATCACAAGGGCCATAGGAAACCCAATATTACCTTTTCAAGAACATTTTATTTGTCTTTACTAAGGTTCTAAAGATCCTGACATAGCATTTATACTGTTTCCTGTACAAGCTTATATTCTTTATTTGTTATTTCTTGTTTGTTTTTTTTTTTTTCTTTTTTTGAGACAGGGTCTCACTATATAGCCTTGGTTAGACTGGAGCTCACCTATGTAGACCAAGCTGGCCTCAGTCTCACAGAGATCTCCCTGTTTCTGCAGTCCTAGTGCAGGGATTAAAGGATTTAATCCTTTAAAACCTTTGCCTGTTTTTTTTAAAGGTGCTGGAATTGAATTTAGGGCTTCGCGCAAGCTGGACAAACATCCTGCCACTGAGCTACTTTCCCATTCTGTTAAGCCAATACTATTTTTTATTCAGTTTTATTTTTAGTTTGTGTGTGTGTGTGTGTGTGTGTGTGTGTGTGTGTGTGTGTGTATGAGTGGAGGTGCCTGCAGAGGCCAGAGGTTTGGTTCCCTTGGAGCTAGAGCTATAAGTCATTTGTGAACCAAACCACTAATGTGGATTCTGAGAATCAAACTTGCGTCCTCTGAAAGAGGAGCACATGATCTTAACCATTGAGTTTTCTTATCATTCCCAAGCTTATATTCCTTTACTTTATTATTATTATTATTTTGGTTTTTTTGAGACAGGGTCTCCCTGTAGCCCCTGCTGACCTGGAACTCACTGTGTAGACCAGACTGGCCTTGAACTCAGAGAGATCTGCCTGCCTCTGCTGAGATTAAAGGTGTGTGCCACCACGCCCAGCTCTTTTTACTTATTTTTATAAATAAATTAAAAAACTATTTGTGGCTCTGGCTGGCCTGGAACTCTCCATGTAGACCACTCTCACAGTGATCCACCTGCCTCTGCCTCCCAAGTACTGGGATTAAAGCTGTGTGCCACCATGCCTGGCTTGATTATTTTCTTGATGTCTTCTTTAAACTGCTGTTGGAATGACAGGTGAGCTTGAAACCATTCTGGGTAAATTTGGTCCAGCCCTTCCTCAGTTAAGTGGAAGAAATACTGAGTTGCACAGGCCTTCTAAAAGTGAGTTTACTCTTAGATATAACCAAAGCTTTCCAAAGAGAAGGATGGTAATATATTTACTCTGGTCTAGCTGGAGTTAGTTTAATTATAGGCATTTTGTTCATTTTCATACTGATAATCTACTACCTTGTTGGAGCATACAGTGCATTTTTTTAAGATTTAGATTTTAGTGCAAAGTTCTTGTATTATGTTATCTGATACATAATATTGAAATTAGTTCTTTTTTATTCCTTAATCTGGGCAGAGATATTGTTTAGTGGAAACAATTCTGGCATAATAGAAATTTTGTTTTCTGGTAAAACTAGGGGAAATGTAGTTTTGGTACAATTGTGAATTATCAACAGTTCTGTGGTCATACAGTAGTTTAATGTAAGATAATGAAGAAATGAAGTCATTTTTTATTTTTTTCCCCAAAATTTGGAAAGGCATTTATAGTGGTGATGATGTAAAAATAAGTATATCTCTGCCATTAAGAATTATGTGGTACAAGTGTTTCCTGCTGGAAGAAGTGCTAAGTTTCCCAAGTATGTGGAGAAAGTCTGGAATCTTCCACTCTGTTCTATCACTAGCTAGTGGACTATGATTTTCAATGCACCAGACCACTACCATAGAAGAAATTAATCATTTATGGAAATCTACATGAATTATTTCAGGCCAAATATTTCAGGTGAAATGACTGAAAGCTTATTGTTTTAGAATTATCTGAAAAATTCTGTATGTCTAATTAATATTCAATAAATATGTTATTTTATTAAGGAAAGTATGTGAATTGGTCTACCACTGGTTTTAGCAAGGTCAAGCATAGCTTGAGCCCTGACTGGGTTATGGAACAGAGCTAAACAGTAAGTGGCTCTAACTACATGGCAACAGGAACCTGGTTTCTCCCATGATTCCATTCTCTGTGCTGCCCTCATTTAATAATTTGCAAACAGGATTCTACAGGTTGAGACCTTGTCCTTCATTGTAGCTCAGAGACGATGAAGATGTCAAATGATCTGCAACATAACCTGGTGCTGCAGGCAGCTCTAGAGTTCTAGAAATATCTTCAGACTTAGGTCAAGAATGTACCAGGCTGATGGATGCTTGGGATCCTCTATTGGAGAGCGATCCACCATCATTCACTCAGCAGACCCAGCGGGGCTTTGCGAAATGAGTTTTAGTAATCAGTTTACTCTCCTTATAGCTTGTGTTTTATTTGGAAATTGCTTAACTTCTTCTAGCTTCAGAGCCACCTACAATATTCTTTGAGGATTAAATGAAATAATATCAAATAGGGCTTTAACAGTTATGACACTTTATACTTAACCTTAGATAACAATGACCACACTTTAAAATATAGCTGTTGGTGGCTGGAGAAATGGCTCAGTCATTAACAGTACATCTTGTGTGATGGTACACGCCTTTAGTCCCAGCACTTGGGAGGCAGAGGCAGGCTTATCTTTGTGAGATCGA